CACACGCCTGCCTGTGCACACTCCTGCCTGTGACACACTCCTGCCTGTGCACACTCTTGCCTGTGACACACTCTTGCCTGTGACACACGCCTGCCTGTGCACACTCCTGCCTGTGACAAACGCCAGCCTGTGACACACTCCTGCCTGTGTATACTCCTGCCTGTGACACACTCCTGCCTGTGACACACTCCTGCCTATGACACACTCCTGCCTGTGACACACGCCTGCCTGTGACACACGCCTGCCTGTGACACACTCCTGCCTGTGACACACTCCTGCCTGTGCACACTCCTGCCTGTGACACACTCCTGCCTGTGACACACTCCTGCCTGTGACACACGCCTGCCTGTGACACACTCCTGCCTGTGACACACTCCTGCCTGTGTACACTCCTGCCTGTGCACACTCCTGCCTGTGACACACTCCTGCCTGTGACACACACCTGCCTGTGACACACTCCTGCCTGTGCACACTCCTGCCTGTGTACACTCCTGCCTGTGCACACTCCTGCCTGTGCACACTCCTGCCTGTGACACACGCCTGCCTGTGCACACTCCTGCCTGTGACACACGCATGCCTGTGACACACTCCTGCCTGTGACACACGCCTGCCTGTGCACACTCCTGCCTGTGACACACGCCTACCTGTGCACACTCCTGCCTGTGCACAGTCCTGCCTGACACACGCTTGCCTGTGCACACTCCTGCCTGTGACACACTCCTGCCTGTGTACACTCCTGCCTGTGACACACGCCTACCTGTGCACACTCCTGCCTGTGCACACTCCTGCCTGTGCACACTCCTGCCTGTGCACACTCCTGCCTGTGACACACGCCTGCCTGTGCACACTCCTGCCTGTGACACACTCCTGCCTGTGACACACGCCTGCCTGTGACACACTCATGCCTGTGCACACTCCTGCCTGTGACACACTCCTGCCTGTGACACACTCCTGCCTGTGACACACTCATGCCTGTGCACACTCCTGCCTGTGACACACTCCTGCCTGTGACACAAGCATGCCTGTGCACACTCCTGCCTGTGACACACTCCTGCCTGTGACACACTCCTGCCTGTGACACACGCCTGCCTGTGACACACTCCTGCCTGTGACACACTCTTGCCTGTGACACACGCCTGCCTGTGACACACTCCTGCCTGTGACACACTCCTGCCTGTGCACACTCCTGCCTGTGCACACTCCTGCCTGTGACACATTCCTGCCTGTGACATGCCTGCCTGTGCACATTCCTGCCTGTGACACATTCCTGCCTGTGACATGCCTGCCTGTGACACACTCCTGCCTGTGACACACTCCTGCCTGTGACACACGCCTGCCTGTGACACACTCCTGCCTGTGACACACTCCTGCCTGTGCACACTCCTGCCTGTGACACACACCTGCCTGTGCACACTCCTGCCTGTGCACACTCCTGCCTGTGACACACTCCTGCCTGTGACACATTCCTGCCTGTGACACACGCCTGCCTGTGACACACTCCTGCCTGTGACACACTCTTGCCTGTGACACATTCCTGCCTGTGCACACTCCTGCCTGTGACACACTCCTGCCTGTGACACACTCTTGCCTGTGTACACACTCCTGCCTGTGACACACGCCTGCCTGTGACACACGCCTGCCTGTGACACACTCCTGCCTGTGACACACTCCTGCCTGTGCACACTCCTGCCTGTGACACACTCCTGCCTGTGACACACGCCTGCCTGTGCACACTCCTGCTTGTGCACACTCCTGCCTGTGCACACTCCTGCCTGTGACACACTCCTGCCTGTGACACATTCCTGCCTGTGACACACTCCTGCCTGTGCACACTCCTGCCTGTGACACACTCCTGCCTGTGCACACTCCTGCCTGTGACACACTCCTGCCTGTGCACACTCCTGCCTATGACACACTCCTGCCTGTGCACACTCCTGCCTGTGACACACTCCTGCCTGTGACACACACCTGCCTGTGCACACTCCTGCCTGTGACACACGCCTGCCTGTGACACACGCCTGCCTGTGACACACTCCTGCCTGTGACACACTCCTGCCTGTGTACACTCCTGCCTGTGCACACTCCTGCCTGTGACACACGCCTGCCTGTGACACACTCCTGCCTGTGACACACTCCTGCCTGTGTAAACTCCTGCCTGTGCACACTCCTGCCTGTGCACACTCCTGCCTGTGACACACTCCTGCCTGTGACACACACCTGCCTGTGACACACTCCTGCCTGTGACACACTCCTGGCTGTGACACACTCCTGCCTGTGACACACGCCTGCCTGTGACACACGCCTACCTGTGCATTCCTACCTGTGCACACTCCTGCCTGTGCACACTCCTGCCTGTGACACACTCCAGCCTGTGCACACTCCTGCCTGTGACATACGCCTGCCTGTGACACACTCCTGCCTGTGACACACGCCTGCCTGTGACACACTCCTGCCTGTGACACACGCCTGCCTGTGCACACTCATGCCTCTGACACACTCCTGCCTGTGCACACTCCTGCCTGTGACACACTCCTGCCTGTGACATGCCTGCCTGTGCACACTCCTGCCTGTGCACACTCCTGCCTGTGACACATTCCTGCCTGTGACATGCCTGCCTGTGCACACTCCTGCCTGTGCACACTCCTGCCTGGGAGAGGGAGAGAGAGAGAGAGAGAGAGGGAGAGAGAGAGGGAGAGAAGGAGAGAGAGAGGGAGAGAGAGAGGGAGAGAGAGAGAGGGAGAGGGAGAGGGAGGGAGGGAGAGAGAGAGAGGGAGAGAGAGGGAGGGATGGAGGGAGGGAGGGAGGGAGGGAGGGAGGGAGGGAGGGAGGGAGGGAGGGAGGGAGGGAGGGAGAGCACTTAGCAGTTTGTGGTCAGACAGTTGGAGGTGGGCGGGTGGAGTTGGTCGCAGGGGAGGGCGGGGCAGGGTTTGCTGGAGGAAGGAAACAAAGACCACACCCAACCACCCACCCTCCATCCCCGCAGGAAGTGGCTCTGCTCCCGCCTGGTGTGAACAGAGAAAGGAGGCCAGGCCTGGGCCGGGTGTCCCAGCATGCCCTGGTGCAAGGAGGGGGGGACCTCCCAGCATGCCCTGCTGCGAGGAGGGGGGTGTCCCAGCATGCGCTGGTGCGAGGAGGGGGGACCTCCCAGCATGCCCTGCTGCGAGGAGGGGGGACGTCCCAGCATGCCCTGCTGCGAGGAGGGGGGACGTCCCAGCATGCCCTGGTGTGAGGAGGGGGGACGTCCCAGCATGCTCTGGTGCGAGGAGGGGGGGCGTCCCAGCATGCCCTGCTGCGAGGAGGGGGGACGTCCCAGCATGCCCTGCTGCGAGGAGGGGGGACGTCCCAGCATGCCCTGCTGCGAGGAGGGGGGACGTCCCAGCATGCCCTGGTGCGAGGAGGGGGGACGTCCCAGCATGCTCTGGTGCGAGGAGGGGGGGCGTCCCAGCATGCCCTGGTGCGAGGAGGGGGGGCGTCCCAGCATGCCCTGGTGTGAGGAAGGGGGACGTCCAAGCATGCCTTGGTGTGAGGAGGGGGGACGTCCAAGCATGCCCTGGTGTGAGGAGGGGGGGCGTCCCAGCATGCTCTGGTGTGAGGAGGGGGGGCGTCCCAGCATGCTCTGGTGCGAGGAGGGGGGACGTCCCAGCATGCTCTGGTGTGAGGAGGGGGGGCGTCCCAGCATGCTCTGCTGCGAGGAGGGGGGGCGTCCCAGCATGCTCTGCTGCGAGGAGGGGGGGCGTCCCAGCATGCTCTGGTGTGAGGATGGGGGGCGTCCCAGCATGCTCTGGTGTGAGGAGGGGGGGCGTCCCAGCATGCTCTGGTGTGAGGAGGGGGGGCGTCCCAGCATGCTCTGGTGCGAGGAGGGGGGGGACGTCCCAGCATGCTCTGGTGCGAGGAGGGGGGCGTCCCAGCATGCTCTGCTGCCAGGAGGGGGGGCGTCCCAGCATGCTCTGGTGCGAGGAGGGGGGGCGTCCCAGCATGCTCTGGTGCGAGGAGGGGGGGGCGTCCCAGCATGCTCTGGTGCGAGGAGGGGGGCGTCCCAGCATGCTCTGGTGTGAGGAGGGGGGGCGTCCCAGCATGCTCTGCTGCGAGGAGGGGGGGCGTCCCAGCATGCTCTGGTGTGAGGAGGGGGATGCTGGATGTCTTGGTGGAGGGGACAGGGGAGCGGAGGCCGCGGCCGGGTCCCAGTGCGGCGGGCACACACCTGGACTGGGAGGACTGGCCTGAGGCGGCGGGAGGGAGTGGAGGAGGAGCCCACGCCGGTGGGGCGGCCGCTCACCAAATCCTGTCCCAGGGCAGGGCAGAGGCCAGGCGGAGAGGGGCTCCCTCCAGGACCTTCCCACCACACACTCGGACGCCTTCCCTCCCCATGCCAACCCCGGCAGCCGGCCTGGCGGAGGTGGCCTGGCACCAGGGCGGCTCCCAGCCCCCGCCAGCCTCTCCGCCCCCCGCGCCTCCTCCAGGCTGGCTTCCCCATGGCAGCTGCGCCAGGCTCAGGAAGCCAGGCCTGGTTTCCCAGCTTCCTGCTCCAGCCACCACCGAGCCCCACGGTCCCTCCCAGGAGACGGGCTGCGGATGAACCTGCACGCACTCGTTGTCAACCACAGAGATTTCTTTGGCGTGATTTGGGGGCAGAGCTCCCCAGCCCAGCTGTGGGGGTCGGCCAGGGCCGCGCCATGCTTTGGCAGGAACCAAAATTGCTTCTCCCGGGGGCGGGGCTGGCTCTCATGGCGATCCTGGGCCCATGACCTGCACCAGGAGGCAGGTGGACCCTGAGCATCTGCGGAGGCCAGGGCCAGGCCCTCAGCCCTTGGCCTGAGCATCTGGGACCCTAGGGCGGTGCTTTGTCTGGACTGCAGGGAGTGGGGAGAGGGCAGCCCAGACCACAGAGCTGCGGAGGGCCAGGGCCGCCCGCCCCTGCGGGGCTGAGTGTCCTCTTCACAGGCCTGCAGCTGGCTCCCAGAAGCATGCTTGTTCAAATAAGCTCAGCACAGCGCGTTGGCTCACAGCAGATGTACCCATCCTGGTTCAAAGGCACTCACTGCGCGGGACGCGGCCGGGCTGGGAGGGAGATGGGGGACACGGGGCCCAGAGCGTGGGTCCTGAGACCCGGCTTGGGGTGGGGGAGCAGCAATGTTAATTTGGGGTTCCACCGGGCACCCCATCCACATCTGCTTTCAGCTTGTGCTTGGAGAATAGGCTGTGGAGCACCCGCAAAATGCTCTTCGTGTCCTTGTTCACAATGTCTGAGGGCCGGGGGCAGGACAGAGCCCAGTCAGCAAGGGTGACCCCCGGGCCACAGTCCTGGGGCCCCCCACCCCATGCCCTTCTGCCCCTCCCCCCACACCATTGCAACTCTTTCTCCTGGTCTGACTGGTGGGGACCTCTGTCCCCAGGACAGCCCCTGCCCCCCACGCGGGGGCAGCCGCAGCGCCCCCGAGAGGAGGCCTGACACCACAGGAGGATTCCTCCTCCTCCTCCTCCTCTACCTGCCTCTACCAAGGCCGCCCCCCCCCCCCCACACACAGAAGGGCTCCTCACCCTCGGGGCTGATGGGGTAGCCCAGCAGGCCTTGGTCCCTCAGCAGCTCCAATGCCAGGGTAACGTTGTGTAACTGCAAGGACAAGGTTTATCCATGTGAGCCTGGACGCCAGACCACCTGCTGCCCCTCATAACCTTTAATCCGCCCAAGGTTGGAGTCCCTGAGCAGCAGCGGGCGAGCAAGGGCCGTCCAGCCTCTCATCAGAGGCCGGTTAGCCCTAGTCCCGCTCAGAACACACAGGACCCAGGAGGGCCTCTGCCAACAGCCGCCGTCACCAAGGAGGTGCGCAGGGGCCCGGGAAGCTCCTGGGCGAGTCTGTCAGGTGAAGGGAGCTCACCAGGGAAAGAAGCCAGGGCTGGGGTTGTGGAGACTCCTCCATGGCACTGGTCTCCATCAGCAAAGCAAGGGAAACTGAGGCCGAGGAGGGCCGAAGGACCCACCTGCAGCCACAGACAGTGCTGCGTGGCTCATGCCTGGAACCCCGGCTGCTCAGGAGACTGAGATCAAAACCAACCTGCAGCCACAGACAGTGCTGCTTGGCTCATGCCTGGAACCCTGGCTGCTCAGGACACTGAGGTCTAAGGATTGCAGGTCAAAACCAACCTGGGCAGCAAAGTCTGTGAGACTCGTTTCTCCAATTTACCATCAAAGGGCCAGGGGTAGAGATAATGGCTCAAGTGGTGGCGTGCTAGCCTGAGTGACAAAGCTCAGGGACAGCATCCCAGCCCTGAGTTCAAACCCCAAGACTGCTCCCCTCAAAGAAAGAAAGAGCCAGAATCTGGGCCCGTGTCACTTGAACCTTGGCCAGGCAGGCTGGAGGCCAGGGAAGCCGCCCTGGCCTGGAGGCTGGAGCAGCCTGTATACCAGCCAGAGCCCAGGCCTGCTCTCCCCCAAGCAGGGGCGGCTAGGGCAGTGCCAGCCCAGCCTGCCCCGTCACCCCAGCCCCGCTGCCGTGAGAGGTAGGCCAGTTCCCAGCTTGGTGGACACGGAGTGAGCAAAGCCGAGCGGATGCGGTCGTGGTGTGGCCCTGCCCAGGCTGCCTCCGGTCACTGCTGGGGCAGCGGGCAGGCAGAGCACGGGGGTCTGGGTGGCATGTGTGTGGGCCTCCACCCACATAGGTGACCTGACACAGTCACAGATCCTGGCCGGGTCTCAGGCTCCTCATCTGCACCGTGGGGCCAGCACATCTGGCTCTCCAGGCCCACGCTAGAGTGGGGCTGAGGACGGAACCCGCCCGGAGGCCAGGAGCAGAGCCTGGGAGCTCCTCGAGGGCCCAGAGCCCCCGAGAGGGAGGACAGGCGCGCGGAGGGCAGCCACGAGAGCACGGAGGGCAGCCACGGGCCGGGCCGGGCTGGGCCGTCCTCACCGGAGCCCGCAGAGGCCCATGGCTGGCAGTACCATGGCTCCCCAGCAGGGGTGCCCTTCTGGACGGTCCAGATCAAGCTTCTAGAAAGCTCTCAGACCGGTCAGTCTGGAGTGTGCCACTCCCAGTCCTCCCTGGAAAGTTCTAGGAGGCGAGGACCAGGTGCCGCTCTGGTCACCGTCGCAGCATAGACATTATTTGTGGTTGCAGAAGGAATGATTTGATGTCAGCCTGAGAGGGAAGGATGCAGACTCGGTTCCAACGCTCAGCCTTCCACAACCTCAGTGGGGACCAGGATGGCCAGGGGAGCGTGGTCCAGGGGGACGGCTGGGCTGAGCAGAGAGCCAGGGCCTGTGCTGCGGGCCCCTCGGGCCTGGCGCCGGCTGGTGGGCAGATCAAGGCTGCTCAGGAGTGTTCCCGAAGTCAGCTGACCGAAGGAGGGAGCCCCGGGAGCCCCTGGGGACTGATGTTTTGAAAACATGTTTTTTTAAGAAAATTCTGAGTTGAGCATCAGTGCCAGGAAGAGAGCAACTCCCCCCTGGGAACTGCTAGCGGTGACACTGAAAACCCGCAGCCGGCCTGCTGCCACACGCTTCTCCAGCGAAGCTCTCAGGAACCAAAGATCACCTCCCCAAAGAGCCCCCCATGCCCGAACGTCTGCCCCCGCCCCAGCACGGCCTCTTCTTCTGGGCACAGTCTGGGATGCTGAGCGGAGGAGCCATGGCCTCCAGCAGCTGAGGGAGGGAGGGAGGGGGGAGGGAAGGAGGGCAGCCTGAGACCCCTCACGTCCTCCCGGGAGAGATAATTGAATGTGGGAGGAAGCCGTGGTTCTGGCTCCACACACTTTGATTTCTGCAGAGGCAAGGATCCCTGTCCCTCCGTCCCTAACGCCTGTTCTTGAAATGAACGACAATCTCCCGTCACGAGTGCGGGCAAGCCGGGGCTGGAAATGAAAAATCCAATTTCCCAAGGCCTCTGTGGCAGGATCTCGCTCTAAGTGCCCTCCTCCTGCCAGCGCCTCCATAGAATGCCTTCCAGCCTCCAGAGGGTCTGCGCTGAGATTGCCCGGCCCCCGCCCCCAGCTCGGCCCGCTCAGCTGGGCGCTGGTTCTGACAGCGGTAGGTGTGCTCAGCAAGCTGGAGGAGCCCAGAGAGGCTAGAAGTTGGCACATCGGCGCCTGGCGTGGGCCCGAGGTTTGGGGCACACACTCCTGATGCCACCACACCCAAGGAACAAGGGTGGGGATGGGTGCTCTGTGAGTCTGGGTTTTGGGAGCCTTGTCTGAGAGGCTTCTCAGCCTGAGCTAGCCTTGATCTGGCAGCCTCCTTTTCTCAGACTCCCAAGTAGCTAGGATTGCAGGTGTGAGCCCAGAGGCCCAGCTCCCTCTCCTCTCTTAACCCCTCTCAGCTTCTGCTTCACCATCTTCCCAGGGGATATATGGAAGGTTAGATGGGAGCATGAATGGACAAATGGGAAGGGATGGATGAAAGCAACTGGGTGGGTGGGTGGGTGGAATCATGGGTGGACGCATGAATAGATGGATGGATATGTGCATGGATGCGTGGGTGCAGGGCTGCATGGGATGAATGGGTGGGTGGGTGGTGCATGGGTGGATGCGTGCATGCATGGGGGTGGGTGGATGCATGTGTGCATGGGTAGAGGGATGAATGCACGTATATGGATACTTGCATGGGTGGGTGGGTGAACGGTAGGTAGGTGGGTGAATGGACAGTTGGGTAGATAGGTAGGAGGTGGGTAGATGCATGCATACGTGGATAGAAGCCTATGTGGATGGATGGATGGGTGGGTGGGTGGATGAGAAAGGGGTGGGTAGATTGGTAGTTGGGTGGATAGTTGGTTGGATGGATGGATGGGTGGGTGGGTGAATGAGAAAGGGGTGGGTAGATTGGTAGTTGGGTGGATAGTTGGTTGGATGGATGGATGGGTGGGTGGGTGAATGAGTGAGGGGTGGGTGGATGGAAAGTTGGGTAGATAGTTGGGTGGATGGATGGATGGATGGGTGGGTAAATGAGTGGGGGGTGGGTAGATTGGTGGTTGGGTAGATAGTTGGTCGGGTGGATGGATAGATAGATGGATGGATGGGTGGGTGGGTGAATGAGTGGGGGGTGGATGGACAGTTGGAGATAGTTGGGTGGATGGGTGGGTGGATGAATGAGTGGTGGGTGGGTGGATAGTTGAGTAGTTGGATGGGTGGATGGGTAGGTAGGGGTGGGTGGATGGACAGTTGGGTAGATAGTTGGGTGGGTGGGTAGGAGGATGGACAGTTGGGTAGATAGTTGGGTGGGTGGGTGGGAGGATGGATGGGTGGATGGATGGGTGGATGGACAGTTGGGTAGATAGTTGGGCGGGTGGATGGATGGATGGGTGGATGGATGGGTGAGTGGGTGGATGAGTAGGGGGTGGGTGGATAGACAGCTGGGTAGATAGTTGGGTGGGTGGATGGGTGGGTGGGGGTGGGTGGATGGACAGCTGGGTAGATAGTTGGGTGGGTGGGTGGATGGATGGATGGGTGGATGGGTGAATGAGTGGGGGGTGGGTGGATAGACAGCTGGGTAGATAATTGGGTGGGTTGGTGGATGGGTGAATGAGTGGGGAGTGGGTGGATGGACATTTGGGTAGATAGTTGGGTGGGTGGGTGGATGGGTGGGTGGATGGGTGAATGAGTGGGGAGTGGGTGGATGGACAGTTGGGTAGATAGTTGGGTGGGTGGGTGGATGGGTGGGTGGGGGTAGGTGGATGGACAGCTGGGTAGATAGTTGGGTGGGTGGGTGGATGGATGAGTGGGTGGATGGGTGGGTGGGTGGGTGGGTGAATGAGTGGAGGGTGGATGGATAGACAGTTGAGTAGATAGTTGGGTGGGTGGATGGATGGGTGGGTGGGGGTGGGTGGATGGACAGCTGGGTATGTAGTTGGGTGGGTGGGTGGATGGGTGGGTGGGGGTGGGTGGATGGACAGCTGGGTAGATAGTTGGGTGGGTGGATGGGTGGGTGGGTGGGGGTGGGTAGATGGACAGTTGGGTAGATAGTTGGGTGGGTGGGTGGATGGGTGGGTGGGAAGTGGATGGATGGACAGTTGGGTAGATGGGTGGGTGGATGGGTGGGTGGATGGGTGGGTGGATGGGTGGGTGGATGGGTGGGTGGGTGGGGGTGGGTGGATGGACAGTTGGGTATGTAGTTGGGTGGGTGGGTGAATGAGTGGGGGGTGGGTGGATGGACAGTTGGGTATGTAGTTGAGTGGGTGGGTGAATGAGTGGGGGGTGGGTGGATGGACAGTTGGGTAGATAGTTGGGTGGGTGGATGGGTGGGTGAATGAGTGGGGGGTGGGTGGATGGACAGTTGGATGGGTGGGGGTGGGTGGATGGACAGTTGGGTAGATAGTTGGGTGGGTGGGTGGATGGGTGGGTGGGGGTGGGTGGATGGACAGCTGGGTAGATAGTTGGGTGGGTGGATGGGTGGGTGGGTGGGGGTGGGTGGATGGACAGTTGGGTAGATAGTTGGGTGGGTGGATGGGTGAGTGGGGGTGGGTGGATGGACAGCTGGGTATGTAATTGGGTGGGTGGGTGGATGAGTGGGGGGTGGGTGGATGGACAGTTGGGTATGTAGTTGGGTGGATGGGTGCGTGGGGGTGGGTGGATGGACAGTTGGGTATGTAGTTGGGTGGGTGGGTGGATGAGTGGGGGGTGGGTGGATGGACAGTTGGGTATGTAGTTGGGTGGATGGGTGCGTGGGGGTGGGTGGATGGACAGTTGGGTATGTAGTTGGGTGGGTGGGTGGATGAGTGGGGGGTGGGTGGATGGACAGTTGGGTATGTAGTTGGGTGGGTGGGTGGATGAGTGGGGGGGGGTGGATGGACAGTTGGGTATGTAGTTGGGTGGATGGATGGGTGGGTGGGGGTGGGTGGATGGACAGTTGGATGGGTGGCGAGTGGGTGGATGAATAGACACCGGGGGAACTGCGACTGCACTGCACTCCACTGTAGGAGAATATGCACTGGTGCCCTGATGCCCAGATCTGCCTACTCTGAGGTCCACCCTGCAGGAAAGCCCCAGAAGACTCACCATTTCTGCAGGATTGCTGGGAGTGAGGAAGAATTCCTTCAGGTGGAGGAAGAAGCCTTCCAGCTGTCCAATCAGCAGGAGCAGAAGGACTCCATCTGCAAACTAAGAGAGGGGCACCGGAGGTGCCGGCGTGCAGGGGCGGACGCCCGTGATTCTAACTGCCTTTTACGGACTGTGTGACCCTAAGGACATCGCACAACCTCTCTGAGCCCCAGGTTCCTTTTAGGAAATGGGCATGCGACTCCCAGCCTCACAGGCTTGTAAACAGGAACACAGCCTTTGTGACAGCCCAGTGTACAGTACATGCTCAATAAAAAGAGTGTGTTCGCAACTCTGCCGGAGAATCGCCTCCCGTGGGTTTTTAATGACACATTGCTTCCGGAACTCTAGGAACACAGGCTAAACAGCTAAGTGTGGAATGAAATTATCCTGCCAGGGGCCGCGCTTGCAGCCACACGTTAATATTTCTGTCTGTTCTCCGGCTCATCCTATGTCAATGCACCCATTGATCAAAGATCAGCTCTCCCAGGAAAAACACCAACCCAAGTCCTTAATGGAATTTCCTCGCCTTAACTCGGTTCCAATGCTGTTTGCCGGGAGCTGACCTCTCCCGCCGGTGTCCCCTGGAACGCTGGCCCTCATACGCTCATTAACACCGTTCCTAACACCGTCCTGGCACCTGCTGACATTCTCCACGAGACATTTTATTTTTCTCCCAGGGAGAAATAAAGATGAGCAGGGAACATAAAGCTAAGGGGCCACCCTGTTTATACAAACGGGAGCAACAATAAACCTCGGACGCATCACACACTGACCACTCCTGTTCGGGGACTTCGACCCCTCAACTCTGGGAGCCTGGGAGCGCTATCCCCAGCCTTCGAGAACTGGAGCCTGAGGGCCAGAGAGGTCCGGCAACCTGCCCAAGGCCATACAGCTGATGTAGGGCAGGCACACGTGCATGCACACGTGTGCACACACACACACACACACCCATGGCTACCTTGTGAAGTAGTTTCCCAGCACCACCCCTCACTTAATTGCTGTGTGGCCTTGGATAAGCGGATTGACTTCTCTGGGTCTTACTGTCCTTATCTGTAAAATGGGGCCTGCTGGGAGGATTCCCGGCCTGATGTGGAGAAAACTGTGTGTGCCGGGCTGGTACCTTTGCCCCGGGCCTAGGGGTGTGGCCTACCTGGGTGTCCAGATCCCGCACAGACAGGCCCAGGCGCTCCAGCTTCTGGTTGACAAAACTCAGCATAGCCTAGGGGAAGATGAGCGGATGGCAGATGGGAGGGAGGCTCGGGTGTGGGACTTCCCGACTCCCGTACCCAGGACAGATGCAGAGCCAGGGCCCCCCACTAGTGCTCGCTGGAGGCCCGGGCTTTGATCTCACTTACCTCTTTCACAGAGCTCACTTTCTCTGGAGTTGCCGCAAATAATTCATCAAAGATGTCCCCTGCAGGCCAAGCCAACAAACAACTAGTCACCGTGCTGCTACCCTCCCGCCAAAGGAAACATCAGCTTGCACAAGCGTTTCTCAGGCTAAGCAGCCCAAAGCAGGGTCCTGAACAAAATACGCCTGTGTCTGGGTTGCTTGCGGCTCCCTGGCTGTGTGCCCGAGGGACCTGCCCTCTCTGAGCCTCCGTTCCCTCGTCTACACGCGTGGTGGGTGGCACTCCGACGCGCACAGGCCGGGCTCCTCCGGCAAGCTGGTCCTCCAGCACCCAGCACCCGTGCGGGCTGCAGGCACTGCCCACTCACAGAACCCATCCCGCCCTCCGCCTCCACCCGGGCACTGCCGGAGGGCCCGCCAGCCCACAGCACCCCGTCCAACTCGGCAGAAAGCCAGCCACAGGCTTCCCACCTGCGCCCGGGGGCACACGTGTCCTGGAGGAAGCCAGACCCGGGAGCCATGCGGTCCCAGCAGCAGCCTCTCTGCCCCTCTCCGCCCCCGGTGCCCCCCTCCCTGCCCCTCTCCACCCCCGGTACCCCCCCTCCCTGCCCCTCTCCACCCCCGGTGCCCCCTCCCTGCCCCTCTCCGTCCCCGGTGCCCCCTCCCTGCCCCTCTCCACCCCCGGTGCCCCCTCCCTGCCCCTCTCTGCCCCCGGTGCCCCCTCCCTGCCCCTCTCCGTCCCCGGTGCCCCCTCCCTGCCCCTCTCCACCCCCGGTGCCCCCTCCCTGCCCCTCTCCACCTCCAGTGCCCCCTCCCTGCCCCTCCCTGGCCCCGGTGCCCCCTCCCTGCCCCTCTCCACCTCCAGTGCCCCCCTCCCTGCCCCTCCCTGGCCCCGGTGCCCCCTCCCTGCCCCTCTCCACCCCCAGTGCCCCCTCCCTGCCCTTCTCTGCCCCCGGTGCCCCCTCCCTGCCCCTCTCCACCCCCAGTGCCCCCTCCCTGCCCCTCCCTGCCCCCGGTGCCCCCTCCCTGCCCCTCTCCACCCCCAGTGCCCCCTCCCTGCCCTTCTCTGCCCCCAGTGCCCCCTCCCTGCCCCTCTCCACCCCCAGTGCCCCCTCCCTGCCCCTCCCTGCCCCCGGTGCCCCCTCCCTGCCCCTCTCCACCCCCAGTGCCCCCTCCCTGCCCTTCTCTGCCCCCGGTGCCCCCTCCCTGCCCCTCTCCACCCCCAGTGCCCCCTCCCTGCCCTTCTCTGCCCCCGGTGCCCCCTCCCTGCCCCTCTCCACCCCCAGTGCCCCCTCCCTGCCCCTCCCTGCCCCCGGTGCCCCCTCCCTGCCCCTCTCCACCCCCAGTGCCCCCTCCCTGCCCCTCTCTGCCCCCGGTGCCCCCTCCCAGCCCCTCTCCGCCCCCGGTGCCCCCTCCCTGCCCCTCTCTGCCCCCGGTGCCCCCTCCCTGCCCCTCTCCGCCCCCGGTGCCCCCCTCCCTGCCCCTCTCCACCCCCAGTGCCCCCTCCCTGCCCCTCCCTGCCCCTGGTGCCCCCTCCCTGCCCCTCTCCGCCCCCGGTGCCCCCTCCCTGCCCCTCTCCGCCCCCGGTGCCCCCTCCCTGCCCCTCTCCACCCCCAGTGCCCCCTCCCTGCCCCTCTCCACCCCCAGTGCCCCCTCCCTGCCCTTCTCTGCCCCCGGTGCCCCCTCCCTGCCCCTCTCCACCCCCAGTGCCCCCTCCCTGCCCCTCCCTGCCCCCGGTGCCCCCTCCCTGCCCCTCTCCACCCCCAGTGCCCCCTCCCTGCCCTTCTCTGCCCCCGGTGCCCCCTCCCTGCCCCTCTCCATCCCCAGTGCCCCCTCCCTGCCCCTCCCTGCCCCCGGTGCCCCCTCCCTGCCCCTCTCCACCCCCAGTGCCCCCTCCCTGCCCCTCCCTGCCCCCGGTGCCCCCTCCCTGCCCCTCTCCACCCCCAGTGCCCCCTCCCTGCCCTTCTCTGCCCCCGGTGCCCCCTCCCTGCCCCTCTCCACCCCCAGTGCCCCCTCCCTGCCCCTCTCTGCCCCCGGTGCCCCCTCCCTGCCCCTCTCCACCCCCAGTGCCCCCTCCCTGCCCCTCCCTGCCCCCGGTGCCCCCTCCCTGCCCCTCTCCACCCCCAGTGCCCCCTCCCTGCCCCTCTCTGCCCCCCGGTGCCCCCTCCCTGCCCCTCTCTGCCCCCGGTGCCCCCTCCCTGCCCCTCTCTGCCCCCGGTGCCCCCTCCCTGCCCCTCTCCGCCCCCGGTGCCCCCCTCCCTGCCCCTCTCCACCCCCGGTGCCCCCTCCCTGCCCCTCTCCACCCCCGGTGCCCCCCTCCCTGCCCTTCTCCATCCCCGGTGCCCCCTCCCTGCCCCTCTCCGTCCCCGGTGCCCCCTCCCTGCCCCTCTCTGCCCCCGGTGCCCCCCTCCCTGCCCCTCTCTGCCCCCGGTGCCCCCTCCCTGCCCCTCTCCGTCCCCGGTGCCCCCCTCCCTGCCCCTCACCACCCCCGGTGCCCCCCTCCCTGCCCCTCTCTGCCCCCGGTGCCCCCCTCCCTGCCCCTCTCTGTCCCCGGTGCCCCCCTCCCTGCCCCTCTCTGTCCCCGGTGCCCCCTCCCTGCCCCTCTCCACCCCCGGTGCCCCCCTCCCTGCCCCTCTCTGCCCCCGGTGCCCCCTCCCTGCCCCTCTCCACCCCCGGTGCCCCCCTCCCTGCCCCTCTCCGTCCCCGGTGCCCCCTCCCTGCCCCTCTCCATCCCCGGTGCCCCCCTCCCTGCCCCTCTCCACCCCCGGTGCCCCCCTCCCTGCCCCTCTCCACCCCCGGTGCCCCCCTCCCTGCCCCTCTCTGTCCCCAGTGCCCCCTCCCTGCCCCTCTCCACCCCCGGTGCCCCCTCCCTGCCCCTCTCCACCCCCGGTGCCCCCCTCCCTGCCCCTCTCCACCCCCGGTGCCCCCCTCCCTGCCCCTCTCCGTCCCCGGTGCCCCCTCCCTGCCCCTCTCTGTCCCCAGTGCCCCCTCCCTGCCCCTCTCCACCCCCGGTGCCCCCTCCCTGCCCCTCTCCACCCCCGGTGCCCCCCTCCCTGCCCCTCTCCACCCCCGGTGCCCCCCCCAGGCTGCCCGCCACCTGTCATCTCCAATGGCTCACATACCACTAGGTCCCTTTCTGTGGGTGCAATGCCCCATCTAGCACCCTGTGCCCTGCAGCTGTCTGAAATGAAGGAAGATGCAGACAGGAAAATTAGTCCTAGGATAGATGGATGGATGAGTGGAAGTGGATGGATGGTGGATGATGGATAAATGGGTGGATAGATAAGGTGATGGATGGATGGAGACTGATGGATAATGGATGGATGGATAGATGGATGATTGGATGTATGGATGAGTAGATGAATAGATGAATGAATGGATGAATAGAGGAGAGGATGGATGGATAGGTGGATGGATGGATGGATGGTTGGATGGGCAGACGGATGGATGAATGGATGAGTGAATGGATAGGTGGATGGGTGGATGGATAGGTAGATGGGTGGATGGATAGATGGATGGATGAATGGATGGATGGATAGGTATATGGGTAGATGGATAGACGGATGGATGGATAGGTGGATGGGTAGATGGATAGGTAGATGGGTAGATGGGTAGATGGATGGATGGATGGATAGGTAGATGGGTGGATGGATAGATGGATGGATGAATGAATGGATGGATGGATAGGTATATGGGTAGATGGATGGATGGATGGATAGGTAGATGGGTGGATGGATGGATGGATGAATGAATGGATGGATGGAGAGGTAGATGGGTAAATGGGTAGATGGATGGATGGATGGATAGGTGGATGGGTGGATGGATGGATGGATAGATGAATGGATGGATGGAGAGGTAGATGGGTAGATGGATGGATGGATGGATATGTGGATGGATGGATGGATGAATGAATGGATGGATGGATAGGTAGATGGGTAGATGGATGGATGGATGGATAGGTGGATAGATGGATGGATGGATGGATGGATGAATGAATGGATAGATGGATACATAGATGGGTAGATGGATGGATGGATAGGTGGATGGGTGAATGGATGAATGAATGGATGGATGGATGGATAGGTAGATGGGTAGATGGGTAGATGGATGGATGGATGGATAGGTGGGTGGGTGGATGGATGGATGGATGGATGAATGGATGGATGGAGAGGTAGATGGGTAGATGGATGGATGGATGGATGGATAGGTGGATGGGTGGATGGGTAGATAGATGGTTGAAGGATGGATGGATGATAGAAGGGTAAGATTGGTTCAAACACCAGTTCCCTCAGGTATTAGCCCCATGAGCTTAGGCAGCTGCCTGACCTGTTTCCTCATCTGTAAATCGGGATAAATAACATCATCTGTGTGATTATAAATCCCCCTCAGGAGTGGTAGCAAGTGGCTGGCTCCATAGATGGACAGACAGAAATAGAAGCAGGGAACAAACTGCTAAAAACTGAGTTGGAGACATAAACGGCAGAGCACAGGGAAATGAGGGGGAAGAGCACCCACCCTCCCTCCCTTGGGCCCCCCTCCCTCGGGCCTCCCCCCTCGGGCCCCCCTCTCTGGGCCCCCTCCCTCGGGCCCCCCTCTCTGGGCCTCCCTCTCTGGGCCCCCTTCCCTCGGGCCCCCCTCCCTCGGGCCCCTCTCCCTTGGGCCCTCCCTCCTTGGGCCCCCCTCCCTCGGGTCCCCCTCCCTCGGGCCCCTCTCCCTTGGGCCCTCCCTCCTTGGGCCCCCCTCCCTCGGGCCCCCCCTCCCTCGGGCCCCTCTCCCTGGGTCCCCCTCCCTGGGCCCCCTCCCTTGGGCCCCCCTCCCTCGGGCCCCCCTCCTTCGGGCCCTCCCTCCTTTGGTCCCCCTCCCTCGGGCCCCCTCCCTCGGCCCCCTCCCCCCACACCCACTGCACAGGCACGCATCAGATGGGGAAGCTCTCCTTGGGTTATAACATTACTCACTTGCAGGCCCGTCCTTGTCTGTGCTGAAGGGGAAGTTGTAGAGAAAGAAAAAAAAGTGACTTTTACAATTCTGCAGCCCTCGTCACCCCTCACGGCCGGCTGGGGCTTGCCACCGTCTGGGGAAAGGGGTCACCTCCCCCCAGCACCCCTCACCACCCCTCACGGCCGGCTGGGGCTTGCCACCGTCTGGGGAAAGGGGTCACCTCCCCCCAGTACCCCTCACCACCCCTCACGGCCGGCTGGGGCTTGCCACCATCTGGGGAAAGGGGTCACCTTCCGCCAGCACCCCTCACCACCCCTCACGGCCGGCTGGGCTTGCCACCGTCTGGGGAAAGGGGTCACCTCCCCCCAGCCCTCCCCCCAGCAGCCCGAAGGCAGAGCAGGTTCAGGCAGGTCTTCATGGCCAGCGGCCAAAGCTCACACCCATAATCCTAGCTACCAAGAGGCTAAGATCTGAGCAGTGGGATTCAAAGCCAGCCAGGAGGGTAAGTGTATGAGACTCTTATGGTCAATTAGCCAGCAAAAGCTGGAAGTAGAAGGGTGGTTTAAATGGAAGAACCCTAGACTTGAGTGGAAAAAGCTAAGGGACAGTGCACAGGCCCAAGCCCCCTTACTGACATAAAAAAGAAAGAGGAGGGAGGGGGGAAAGATAGAGAAGGAAGGAGGGAGGGAGGGAAAGAGAGAAGGAGGGAAGGAGGGAAGGAAGGAAGGAAGGGAGAGAGGAAGGGAGGCAGGCAGACAGGCAGGAAGGAAGGAAGGAGGGAGGGAGGGAGGGAGGGAGGGAAGGAGGGAAGGAGGGAAGGAAGGAGGGAAGGAAGGAAGGAAGGAAGAGAGGGGAAGGAAGGAGGAAAGGAGGGAAGGAGGGAAGGAAGGAAAGAGAGAGGGAAGGAGGGAAGGAGGGAGGCCCTTAGAAATGCTGGACTTGGTTGCCTGTGTGGTTGCTGTGTATGGTGTGGGGAAGAGGAGGCCATAGTATAATAAAGCACACAAAACATGTTTTACGCACACATTCTTGTGTGGTCGCCACCCCCCCACATGGCTTTCTAACGCCCAGGAGGCCTTTCCATCCCGCAACTCCGTGAGAGGACGGCTCTGCCTGCTTCTCATCTGTGACCGGCGCTGTCTGGCCCAGAATCAGCAAATTAACCTGTGCAGGCTCGCCTTGCCTGAGTTCTTGTTAGTGGTTTAATGTGGTTTTTCTTCTACTCTGTTAAACTTCCGTAGATATTGGGATGGGCAGATGGATGGATGGATGGACAGATGGAAGGATGGATGGATGGATGGATGGATGGATGGACAGATGGATGGATGGATGGATGGATGGTAGATGGATGGACGGATGGATGGATGGATGGATGATGGATGGACAGATGGATGGATGGATGGATGGATGGATGGACAGATGGACTGATGAAGATAGACGTGAGGGTCTCTGTGACCAAGGGTAGGCCAAGGCCCTGTGACCACATAGCTGGAAGTGCTGCCCGCCCAGCCCCGGCCCCGGAGGAGCCTTCAAAAATGCAAGCCTTGGCCAGCGGCTGGAGAGCTGTCCTTGCGGACTGTGAGTCTGAAGCCTGTCCAGCCGTCCCGGGCTTCCCGGCCCAAGCAGCTGTGAGAGCGTGGGCACCGGCAGCTGCTTGAAGCTGCTGATGTTGCAAACCTGTTACACAGCAGCCACTAGCTGCTACAAGAATCCAAAGGCCGCCCCAGCCTAAGCTAGCTCTCCTCTAAGCCCATGAGGGGACTCAGCGCCAGACAGCTGCCCCACCCCAGCCCCTCACCCCAGCCCCTCACCCCAGCCCCCACCCCAGCCCCTCACCCCAGTCCCCATCCTAGTCCCCACCCCAGCCCCCACCCCAGCCCCCACCCCAGCCCCTCACCCCAGCCCTCACCCCAGCCCCCACCCCAGTCGCTACCCCAGCCCCTCACCCCAGCCCCTCACCCCAGCCCCTCACCCCCACCAGCCTGTGGTCTGCTTACTCGCATTCAGTGAGCTGCTCCACTGATTTCTCCGACTTCAGGCCACCCCTAGTGCTCTGAGGAAGGAAAGAAGAGAGAGTGGGCCCGGGAAGCCGGGCTGGGGCCTGGCTGGGCTGTGTCTCCCCTGAGCCTTGGCACCAAGTGGAGACTGGACGCAGCCACCAGCAGGCAGAGCGGCCGCAGCAACGCCAGGCCACGGCCAGGCCACGCCCTGACCATGCCCTGGCCATGCCCAGCCCAGCCCATGCCCAGCTCAGGCCCATGCCATGCCCAGCCCAGGCCATGCCCAGCCCAGGCCCATGCCATGCCCAGCCCAGCCCATGCCCAGCTCAGGCCCATGCCATGCCCAGCCCAGGCCATGCCCAGCCCAGGCCCAGGCCATGCCTAGCCCAGCCCAGGCCACGCTCAGCCCCGGCCATGCCCAGCCCATGCCCAGCTCAGGCCCATGCCATGCCCAGCCCATGCCCAGGCCATGCCCAGCCCAGGCCACGCCCAGCCCAGGCCACGCCCAGCCCAGGCCACGCCCAGCCCAGGCCACGCCCAGCCCAGGCCAGGCCACGTCCAGCCCCAGCCATGCCCAGCCCATGCCCAGCTCAGGCCCATGCCATGCCCAGCCCATGCCCAGGCCACGCCCAGCCCAGGCCATGCCCAGCCCAGGCCATGCCCAGCCCAGGCCACGCCCAGCCCAGCCCAGGCCACGTCCAGCCCCGGCCATGCCCAGCCCATGCCCAGCTCAGGCCCATGCCATGCCCAGGTCACACCCAGCCCCAGCCATGCCCAGGCCAGGCCCAGTCCAGGCCAAGCCCAGCCCAGGCCAGGCCCAGCCCAGGCCCATGCTATGCCCAGTC